TGATATACGCGTGTATGTTCGTATACAAAATACAATTTCTTGTTAAGGAGTAAGCTGCAGAATTGTAGGCAGCGGGCACGTACGATGGCCAAGCTGCAGTGTACAACAAATACGTTTCAGCCCTGTCAGCGTATATACCGCATTCTTAATGAAATTGCGAATAACAATCTGAAATATACATATGAGATCAATATGTTTAACTACACGTGGACGCACATACTTGGTAGTTTGCTGACTAGCAGGACTCCGAGGTCCCTGATATAAGGGGTGGTCAGACTCAGCAGAATCACGCATTCCGCGATGAGAACATAGTATACCATTGCAATCAACGTCATGATGAATAAAGTGTATTGGTATAAAATAAGGGGCTACAAGTAGTCTTATGTCGGTTATGGTAAGATGTGTAGATATGGTTCCTAAACGTCAGCGTGTGTACTTGTTTAAAAAGTTTTGTTGTGATGTATGAAACATATTTACACATTTTCTGATTGCGGTAGTGCGATATCAGGAGATGAAGACGTAAACAAAAACTTTTAAAATTTAGGATAATGTCTCGTTTGTTGGCTTTTGATTGGTTCCAAGCAGGGGACCTAAAGGTCTTCTCTTCCCCTCTGTTTTTGGTTTTTCAACTCCAAACCAGTGAAACCACCCCCTTTGAAAATATCAGCAATCAGAAGTTGAATCCTTCCCGCCCCCGATGGATAACTGTATTCCAACAAATACCTGTTTATATATTTTAAAAACCTCTTTTAATATTATTCCATGGCCCTTTCTGGTAGCAGTAGCCCGTAGGCCAATAGGACGGGTCTCGAAAGTCAAGTCCGAGACGCTATTTTACTATTTGTCCACACCCCAAAAATACTATAGGGCCAAAACAAAAAGCTATTTATTTATATAACGTTTTTGTTTTGTTTTGGTGATTTTGTTTTTTTTTGCTTTTTTTTTTTACCATGACTTGATGACCATCTACTCTACTCTCTACTAATAGAGAGTAGAGACTAGAGAGAAATAATGAAAGCAAAAATATGAGGGAAACCGGACCAAGATGGTCCATGTTTTTACTTTTTACAGGTAGCCTCGGCCCCGCTCGGGCCTCCTCCCTCTCTACACTATGTAGAGAGAGGCTAGTAGAGAGAGTTCTATTTTTAAAATGGGGGTTTGTTTTTTGTTGTTTTTTTATAAATACAAATACAAACAGACGCCAAAGAAATAAATACGTTACAACGTAAACCGTACAGGTTTGTTTAAAAAAAAAATATATATATATATATATATATATATATATACTTTTTTTACGGCATAGCTTAGCCCTAAAGGTCAGAGTTCTCGGACATATTTAAAAATATGCATATTTACTGCCGCTGCCCACTTTTTAGTTTGACACGCAGAGAATCTATAAATAGATCTAATCGGCGGAAGGAATTTAACAGTCATAACTCATGACAGTCATATCTTGGCCTGAGATTTGGGTGCATATTTAACTTTGACAAATACAACCCCCGCTATTAATATGATCCAAAAAAAAATGATCGTTTGGACCTCTCTTGTCAAATGTCGAATTTCTTGTGACACCGAGGTATTTGGTTTTTTCATATATATGTATTTATATATATGTATCTTTTTACTGATGGCCAGTGAGATACGAATCAGCAGTGTATAGTGTCTACACATCCGTCTCATTTACAGGATTTCGCCCACATATACGGCCATGTCATTGTTTGCTTTCACTCGCCAGGCCACCTCGTCGCTGAGGTATGCGCCCAGAGCCATTGGATGCGCATCACTGCAGTACGCACAGAGGAAGTGCATGTCCAGTGCTGCCGAGACTGTCTCCAATACAGACACAGACCGTGAGTACATCAGGAACATGTCCATGAAGGAGTGGAAGCACAGGTGGACCGATGCTGTCCAGCACATTGACCACAAACTCACATACACAGAGTCCTCTGACCAGCTGCGGAAGCTGATCAAAGGTGGTCTATTGCGTTTCACAGACCTGCGTGATAATCCTGAGCGGTTCTTCGAGGCTCATCGCATCCTCGCCCTACACGCCCCCAAGTTGGGCCCAGGGTTCTGGATCCGTTTCACAGTGCAGTACAACCTGTTTGCTGGCACTATCCTGGGTCTAGCCACGGACAAACAGAGAGCGGCTTTGGATGTCATGCAAAGCGAAGGTACGCTAGGCTGCTTTGGTTTGACTGAGAAGCTTGCTGGTGTTAATAGTGGTCTGGTGATTAACACTACCGCTACCTACGATCACGGTACACAAACTTTTACACTCAACACGCCGGGAGAGGGTTCCGAGAAGAACTGGATCTCTCAGGGATATGTTGCTGACAAAGCGCTTATCTTTGCTGATTTGCACATAGATGGCAAATCTAAGGGTGGCCACGGGTTCGTATTAGACATGCGTACGGACGGCAAACTCGCTGAGGGTGTCGAGATCTTCGATATGGGCCGCAAGACTGTTGGAAACGATCTAGATAATGCTTCTATTCGCTTGACCAATGTAACCATCCCTAAGGATACACTACTTTCACGCTTCGGTGGAATCAACAGTGATGGTGTATACGAGCCTGCACCCAAGGGTATTGTACCCATGCAGATGATCGGACAGCGTCTGTTCACCGGTCGTGTCGCAGTTGCACAGGCAGCACTCAGTTTCTCACGTGAGCTTTTCCGCATGACCAAAGAGTACAGTGATAACAAGAAATGCTGGGCCCCCGAAGGAAGCCCTATGTTAACGGACATCCCCCAGTTGAAGGCCCTGTACGCCGAAGCTGCCGAACGCGATACAAACCTGACAAAATTCGTGGCGAAATGTGAGGCTGAGCTCAGTGAAGCGCTTAAGAAGCACGAGCTGCCTTCGCTTAAATTGATTGAGTCTATTGCATGCGCGAAGGTACTGGGTGTGGAGCAGAGCATCGAGTTGACACACAGGTTAAAGCAGGAGGTTGGCTCGTATGCGCTCATGGCCGAGACCGGGTTTGAACAGCTGGACTTCTTGCAGGTAAGCAAATATGAAAGTGCTAAGTTGAAATCTTATTGTGCAGTGTGGTGTGGTATCTTTTTGGTGTGTTTGGCATACGGTTATCGAGGTTGAGATACCGTCGTGTGGCAAGACATACACGTCTTGTAGAATATGGTCAAGGCACGAATACATGTGTCAGTTATGTATGTGTGTATCAATATATTTATAAATCCCGTGTTCACATAAATGCGCAAGTTGTGATCCACCGAACAATTGCTTGATAGTTGGTGACTGTACGTGACATCAATCTGGAATTCTTATGACACTATATTCTCAATCAATATTATAGAACGTGTGTTTGTTATCGAATACCTTTGCGTATAATCACTTTCTTTAAGTATTGTATATTATTTTGAGAAACTAAAAGCGTCCACAATTACACAAATGCTTCAATAATCAAGCTTTAGTATGAGACATTGGCATAGTCCTACACTTGTACTCGGGAAAATACGAATTGGATGCGTCTAAACGCAATAAATCGTGGGCATGTGCATCTGACTGTTCTCAATACTAACCTTTGTTGGTCTGTCATGTACAATCTTAACTCACTCGATGATTCGCCCTGTATTGTGCGTCATTGTCATACAGAGTATTCTATGTTATTAGTGGTTATACATAATTAATACACAAAATATATCGATGTTTGAATTGTATGAGAGTGCTTTCACGATTTACAGTATGTGGGACAAGTTTGTGAAGATCTAAGCCTTAATATTATATATACATATATATATGTGTGTGTGTGTATTATGTATATAAATATATATACCGTGGTTGCCTATATCATGTACCTGTCTGGTAACGGTCTTACGATTATTATTATTTTTGAAAAACGATATTTTGACTGGATATGTACCACGAATAAATGGTGGAATTTCAACTGTACATGGTATCTTTACGGTGTCGATAGTGCGCGCCTATACTTACCTATGATATATACACACATAAGCATATATATGTATATATATATAAAGGAGCGTGCTATATCTTTGGTGATGGCGGACTTGGCGATGTGTGTCAACTAATTGGGCATTCATTCGGGGTGCACTTGGTGGTGGATATTTATGTGTAGAAGCACCACTATGTGTGCATGTGCAAATGCGCATATATTTCGATGGGATGTACGGTCGTATGTCGGTTTATATTGAAAATATATGTTAGCAAATTCTGTTCAATTGTAAATATCACCATCCAGCTACCATCCACACATACCTACACAGCTAAACAACCCCCTGCTACCACTACAGTGCTGCAAGTTCGCCGAGGGAGACTCGCGTATCCTAATGCAAAAGATGGCGCGTGACCGCATGCGCATTTTCACCAAGAAGCAGCAGCAAGTGGACAACAGCGATCCCGAGCTCAAGCTCTGCGGTGAGATTGCTGCGGGCATGGCCACGGCACTAAAGCAGAATGGAGGGGACAAGCAGGCGGCCTGGGACGATCAGTGGGTCAATACATACGACCTTGCACGCGCGACTATGAAACGTACCATGGCTGACTTCATGGCGAACTAGATGATCAATCGGAACCATCATTGACTGTGGTTGAATAAATAGGATTAAAAAGTACACGTATTTTACAATGAATACTTTTGGGTGGGTTTCGTTGCAATAAGTGCTTTATCATTCATCTGATATATTTTAACTCTAGATAACTTCAAACAAACAAACAAGAATCTGGTGCGCAGTGCCTTCGGCTTGCGTGCAATTTACAATCGTGGAACAGGTCGGTTTACGACTACGTAGGTTTCGCAATTATATTATAGAAGACTGAACACCATTGTGCGAATGGTGAATACAAAATTATGTTGTAGAGACAGTGTGGTATTCGCCTCTGCTGGAAGACGTTGGGTGCCTGATTGCAATCAGCCAGGATGCTAAATACAGCGAAGCACTATCTACATATATGATTGCATGGAACCGGGACGGAATATCAAACTTGTGTATAGGGCGAGCTCTAGTCAGCGTGTGTGATACTCAGTACTAGAGAGCCGGTGACCCCGCATCCGAGTACCAGCCCTGTCGTGTACGAGTGTATCAGAGGAGTTGCTCTTAAAAGGGGCAGCCTTTATATTTAGGCCGGCCTTCCCACTCTTTAGTAATGCGCAACAATGTATTGTTTTGCTTAATATTCCAGTGTAATTGGAAGGTCTAAAATCGCATACTCTCCTTGCCTTTCCATCCCACGCTTTAATGGAAAGCGACTGCTGTATTGGATTGGTACGATGGGCATGCATCCGACAAGGCATTCGCACACACCAATCATCGGGATAAACGCTGTCTCGTACGGCTGATCGCGATATTTTTGAAAATTGTGCGCAGCATAATAACTGCTTTGTACTGTTGAAAGAACTACATTCATTAGCCATTGATTCATAATCTTCATTCGTGATATCACTACCTATTTAGGGTGTCGTAAATATGCGAGTGTGCTATCGTCGATAAACTCGGGTGTGATACGATGCCGGCATTGACCGTGATCTGACGTGACCCTGATAGTCGCAACCATATTAGAATTTCCAAGGGTATACAAGAAAATTGTGCAAAAAAATTGTGGCTATATAAAACGTGCCCCCATATTATCGTCATATACACAATAATGCCAGTAAGGGCGGTTACCGAGAATTGCGAAATTTAAAATGAAAACTTTCGCCAAGGATTGTACCGGTCAAAGCAAAGCATATAGGCTTCCAATTGCGCATCAGAATCGACATGTCGAATGAATGAGTTAGTCGAATGAATGAGTTTACGTGCAGGTTTATTTCTTATAGCTCACTTTCCCCAATTCGGCTGCGGCAGCAAGTACATAGATACAAATATTATGTTTTTAAAAATAAATGCATATAATAAGTGTACAAGTGCACATGCATCACGTATGATGACTCTGCATCTGTGCATAGACATGTATATGAATTTTTAGTTTATAAATAACAATCAACTTTGGAAGTATACCTACAAAATTTAATATCGTACACGTACAGGTCCATATATAAAAAATATATGTGTGTGTGTGTGTGTGTGTGTGTGTGCTAGTATTATGTATATATATATATAAATATATGTATCAAGTATTCTGAATATATGGTACATATATCATGTGGCTAAAAGAAATGTGTGGTTCAAAACTAAGATATACACTCGGAGGCGTTTGCACAGAGGCATTGAGCGGTATATCAACTCTCATCGTACCACGGATCGATCGGCGTCCACAGTCTCAAAACGAGACATACAGACATTGGTCGACCACAGTTCTACTCTTCCATCGTTGTAACACAGAAACAAGGCTAATAGATATTCCAATCACATACATGTATACATATGTAGATACAAGCAGAAAAACTGTTTGTATGCACACATGAATACATATGTAAAATAAGGAAAAGCCTGCTGCTAACTCGAACGATGGAGTGTTGATCAGATAGAAGGAAGTCACTACACAAAACGCACTCATATTCTCGCTTTCATGAACAACACCGAAATAAATATAACCGATAAGGTTATTACCACATCATGCACAGGGTCCCTTCTGAAGTCTTTATTGCTTTCGGTGTTCTCAGCTGGCACTGAAGATGCCAATATCTTATTTGTAGATAGGTTTAAAAACATGTTGAATCCAAGGGTACCTGAATAGAATCAAAGATACGAATAAAAAAAATCAGATTTATAACTTCTACAGTGTAAGCCTAATGATATGTCTAGCAACAAAAGATAATGGAATATTGTGGGTGTTCAGTAAAAATATGATCTCATGAGCACGCCGGCTTCACAGAGTTTAAGACAATATATTATTATAATCATAACCCGGTGTGCAATACACTAGCTGCATTCCACTCCATCCAGAGCTTGAAAAGAAACCGTTTGACAATGCACAACAAAGCAATTAAGCATACCTGGCGTGCGTTCATCTCAAGGAATCTATATCGGGTGGTTAGCGTATATATATATACCGCACCAAGTTTTAGCCTTCTTGGAGATATCAGGAAATCGCGAGGTTCGAGCCACGTGATCCTCTAATTTCTCTTAAATTTGGGGCGGTGTATTTATAATAAACTACAAACTATGAAAACAGGGGTCAGGGGAGTTTGCCCCAGGCCCAGAGCTAGACGCAGCCCCACACCGGGCACCGACTGGGTCACAGTCAACAGCTCACAGGAAGGACTACTATTGAGTTGAATACCGGTTTGAAACACAACTACAAATACGGGATTTTCAATCTGTGCCCTCTTTGACTGATTTCTCAGAGTCTGGAGTCCGGAGTCCTCAGTACTGTGTACAGTGTGTAGTGATTGTAGTCTCACTACTCCCTGGTCATCATGACTTTATAAGTGTAGAGACTATGTAAATAGCAGCGTGTATTTTAGGGCGAATCCAGAACCCTACAAAAAAAAGGGAAATTCAAAATTAAAGTTTTTTTAAGCCAATGAAATGGTTCTTTGCCTTTAAATTGAATAGACCTCGAAATATATTTTAGAAAAAGTGGGATCAAGTTGTGTGGCCACAATATCAATAAATCAATATCAAACACATGAGGACCGCACACACACTCTTGTAACTGTACAATTGTGATGAGTATCAGAATGCAGTCTATGCTTTTAAATTTGAAAAAAAAAAGCTTAAAAAAGCAAAATTGCATGCACGCCATGTACACATGTCTAACCTAAAAACGATTCCATCGATGAAGTAGAAGATAAGATGGGTGTTTCGGATTTATTAGGCTTTGTAGACGACGCAGAAATCGAACCCTAACACATATATGTCCTTGCTCAGACCACGGATAAGAATAAGGTGTGCTATGTAGACGCAAGCTCATTGATTCACTTAGCAATAAATTGGTATACAAAATGTATTTTCTTGAACTCTTTAGAGATTGCTTTCGGTACACACGTTCGCAATAATGGCGGGCTACGAAACGACTAACAACTCTTGAGATAGCTAAAACACTCAAGCTATTTAATAATGCATATTTCAATGTGTTAGATTGCACGGCACTTCAGTATATGTATACGACGGTGGTGTACCTCCAACAAAATTTGAGGAGAAGCAGGTTCGCGATAATGCAGCGAAGAAGAAAAACCCTAGGTTTTCAGGAGCTTTACTACAGCTTGATAGTATGGAACAAACAATCACATGCGAGGCTTTGAAGTTGCTTTCCACTACCTGTATATGAACTTGTGAACAGACTAGAATAGGTATCGGATGCTGTCCTACGAAGCGCTGTAAAAAATGGATGTCACCTTATGATGACATCTTTTTAGAACACGAATAATGAAAGAATCGTTGCGTGTATCGGCTCTGGTTTGCTGATGTACGAAGGAGGCGTGAACGTATGCTTTGGCTTGTTCAACGAGACAGTAAAGGTTATTCCCAATCGGTATGTGTGTAAGACAACGGCATCGGCAGCCTATTCTAAATGGTAAGCATACGAATGATGCAACATTCCTTGCACGTGTTGTGCTATATGTAGAAATACGGCCTCCGGTCAGTCTAAAATATCAAGATCAAATGAGATAACACATTGGTTTTTATTTATATTTAAAATTTAATACATGTTTTTTTTCCAATATTTCCAAAGTGTTCTAAATTCACTTTGATGTCTCCAACAGCCTGGGTATTTGGTATGACTCATATACATGGACCTATGATTTACTTGGACCTATTTGAGACGATAGTAGATGTAGAATATTATAAACTAAATTTTATAATCTCTGAACTACTACTTACAGGTTTTGGTCTTCCCGCTAATCTCCAAAATCCAATAAGTCTTTTTCCTATTTTAACTTTTCTTCAGTTGGAACTTTATTTATATTAGCTAGTGTATTAATTTGACTTACGTTCTTGTGTCTATGTTCACATTAGACATGTGGTCATAAACACTTAATACTTATATTGAAAATTATTCAATAAAGAACAGCTAGAGGTACGTCCTGTGTGATCGATGATATTAAGGCTCTTACCAAGAGGCAGTCCTGATCATTCTTACACAAGCTACCACTGCTCAATCCTAACTGACTTAAATTGTTTCTTAGTTTATATAACATAGTTTAAAGCATAAAAATATCCATCGAAAGTTTACGTGAAAGGCGGGTCGTTATATCGTAATCGTGTAGATAGCTTGATGATCAATCTCAATATGCATTTCGCAGATTTAAATACGACATATAATGATGATGGTATATTACAGGTATTGCGTTCATGCATGACCAAGAGAAGTCACTTCGACAGGCTCTAAATGCACTTACAAATTCATGGGTATTTGACCAGTCTGGCACAAAATGTACAACACGCGAAGGGACACTGTAGTAAACCGGGCCTCCACATTAGACTCTTATGTTATAAACGTACTCTTAAGCAGTACGTAAATTATAAATGGACTCTTAATAGTACAAGGAACTTAAGTTTCCTAAATGTACTTTTAATAGTTCGAGGAACTTAAGTTTCCTAAATGTACTCTTATTAGCACGAGGAACTTAAGTTTCCTAAAATGGTTTTTAATGGTGCTTTTCATTAATACCTTTTCCATTTTACTTATCAGATATTTGGACGAGGCCATTAAAAGGCCTCAGTAAAATACCAAACGTAAAGAGTTGGTCTAGTTCTATTAATATAACTTTATTTACTTTCCAACTTTATTTATATCTGAATACTTCGGTAGCGAGATGGCTCAACCGAATATAGGTTTCTAGGGACTATTAACGTTACCTAGTTGATCCTCCGATCAGCCAACCAGATGTGCCAGTCTGATGAAGGCTAAGTCGGTAATTCTTGATAGGTGACATGTTATTGGTTAAGACAATAACTAAGAACATCATTTTTCTAAAGATAGGATTTTATGAGTCTCTCGGATTCGCCCTAATGAAACATACCATAGTTTCTAATAGAGCGACAACGAAACACTAAATAAAATCCCTTCGGCGGAAACAGGACTGAGAGGATTATATATAGGAAATATATCAGCCTCACAATCCCTCAGAGTATTGCTGTTTTGACGAGGCATACCTAACTTTACTAAATGTCTTATTTCGTTTAATTACTTTGATATCTTCACGATACTTAGAATTAATATCGCCTTGAGAGACCGAATCTTATACATTTTAAAGTTAGCAAAGGTATTAACTACTTAGACTACTTAAACGTAAAGGTATAAAACTACCACAAAAAAATTCTTGTCCAAGCTAGTTCTTAGGAGACCAGCTAGCAGTTATAAGTTAAGATTATTACCAAGAAGACAATACTCCTTCTAAGAAGCGTAGAGCTTAAAATAAAAGGATGGAGAGCGATGCACTGCAGCCGCATTTAACGCGACCACAGAAGAGGACAATCATTCCGTAACCAAAATCATTGCTACTGGTATTAATAACCAGAACAATACAATAGAGAAGGGTGAAGACACTCCATTAA